TCTGACTCTGTGATTGAAACCTACAGAAAACTGAGTGGCTTGGATACAGTAGACCTGGAGATGTTTCAACCAGTAAGGGTGACTAGAACCTCAAGGTACAGCCTCAGAGTGAAGGGATGACCCATTAGAACTGAGATGAGGAGGAATTTCTTCAGCCAGAGGGTGGTGATTCTATGGAACTCATTGCCATAGAGGGCTGTGGAGGCTAAGTCATTGCGAGTATTTATGGCAGAGATAGATAGGTTCTTAATTGGTAACAGGATCAATGGTTACGGGAGAAGGCACAGGAATGGGGTTGAGAAACATATCAGTCACGATCAAATGGTGGAGCAAACTCGATGGGGCGAATAGCCTAACTCTGCTCCTATATCTTGTGGCCTTGTGGGTGACTTCAATCTGCATATAGATTGAGCAAATCAAATTAGTAACAAGACTATAGAGGAGAATTTCCTGAAGTGTGTTATGTATGAGATGGTTTTCTAGATTGGTACAATGAGGACCCAATTGGAGGACAGACCATCCTCAACTGCATACTGTGTAATAGCTGAGGATGGGTTAGCTCAGTTGGCTGGATGGCTGGTTTGCGACGTCAACAGGACGTGCTCAATTCCTATACCAGCTGAAGTCACCATGAAGGTCCCACATTCTTAGCCTTGCCCCTTGCCTCAGGTTAAAGCACCATTAGTTGTCTGTCTCTCTGTCTCAAGTAAGAGAGCAGTCCTACGGTCTTCTGGCACTATGGCAACCTAAAATTCAAACTGCTGATGGCCAATTATTGCCTTCTGATTACACAATCTAGCTGTGAGAGGACCCTTGTAGAAGAATGAAGAACTCAGTGATAGAACTCTTCATTAAAATGGAGAGTGACAGAGTTGATCTGAGACTAGGGGCCAAAATCTAAATAGAGGAAATTTACTGGTATGAGGTGTGAGCAAACAACAATAAATTGGAGAACATAATTTAAAAGGATGACAAACATTTAAAGAGCACTTGCTTATTCCTGTCTAGCACAAAGTAAAATGGGAAAAGTGGCCTTGCCACGGCTAACAAGGGATATTATGGATAGTACTGGATCCAAGGAAGAGTCATATAAATTGGCTAAAAACAGCAGCATATCTGAAGACTGGGAGCAGTTCAGCCTTCAGCAAAAGAAGATTAAGGGCTTGATTACGAGTGGAAAATAGAGTATCAGAGTAAGCTTGCAGGGACCATATAAACACATTGTAAAAGCTCCGAAAGGTATAATGACAAGAAAACAAAAAATACAGTGAAAACCAATCCCTTACAATCAGAAACAGGGGAAGTTATAATACGGAATAAAGAGATGGCAGACCAATTAACTACATATTTTGGTTCTGTCATCATAAAGGATGACGCAAATAATATCCCCGAAATTCTGGGAACGCAAGACAGAGGAACTGAAGGAAAATGGTATTAGCAGGGAAATGGTGTTGGGGCAATTGATGGGATTAAAAGCCAACAAATCCCAACATCTCGTAATCTGCACCCAAAGTACTTAAAGTGGCCTGAGATATTGTGGATACATTCTGAAACTAGGGGTTAGAATCTAAATAGAGGAAACTGATTTTTTTAAAAATTCATTTGTGGGATGTGAGCGACGCTGGCTGGCCAGCATTTCTTGCCCATCCCTAGTTGCCCTTGAGAAGGTGGTGGTGAGCTGCCTTTTTGAACTGCTGCAGTCCCTGCTGTGGGTTGACCCACAATGCTATTAGGGAGGGAATTCCAGGATTTTGACCCAGCGATAGTGAAGACACGGCGATATATTTCCAAGTCAGGATGGTGAGTAACTTGGAGAGGAACATGAAGGTGATGGCAGTCCCATAGATCTGTTGCCCTTGTCCTTCTAGATGGAAGTGGTCGTGGATTTGGATGGTGCTGTCTGAGGATCTTTGGTGAATTTCTGCAGTGCATCTTGTACATAGTATACACTGCTGCTACTGAGCGTTGCTGGTGGAGGGAGTGAATGCTTGTAGATGTAGTGCCAATCAAGCGGACTGCTTCGTCCTGGATGGTGTCAAGCTTCTTGAGTGTTGTTGGAGCTGCACTCAGCCAGGCAAGTGGGGAGTATTCCATCACACTCCTGACATGTGCCTTGTCGATGGCAGACAGGCTTTGAGGAGTCAGGAGGTGAATTACTCGCCGCAGTATTCCCAGCTTCTGGCCCGCTCTTGTAGCCACTGTGTTTATGTGGTGAGTCCAGTTGAGTTTCTGGTCAATGATAACCGCCATGATGTTGATAGTTGGGGACTCAGTGACGGTAACACCATTGAATGTCAAGGGGCAGTGGTTAGATTGTCTCTTATTGGTGATGGTCATAGCCTGGCATTTGTGTGGTGTGAATGTCACTTGCCACGTCAGCCCAAGCCTGGATATTGTCCAGATCTTGTTGCACATGAACATGGACTGCTTCAGTATCTGAGGAGTCATGAATGGTGCTGAACATTGTGCAATCATCGGCGAACATCCCCAGTTTTGACCTTATGATGGAGGGAAGGTCATTGCTGAACTAGCTGAAGATAGTTGGGCCTAGGACATTACCCTGAGGAACTCCTGCAGAGGTGTCCTGGAGCTGGGATGATTGACCTCCCACAATCACGACCATCTGCCTGTGTGTCAGGAGCATTTGCCCCCTGATACCCATTGATTCCAGTTTTGCCAGGGATCCTTGATGCCACACTCGGTTGAATGCAGCCTTGATGTCAAGAGCTGTCACTCTCACCTCACCTCTGCAATTCAGCTCTTCTGCCCATGTTTGAACCAAGGCTGTAATGAGATCAGGAGCTGAGTAGCCCTGGCGGAACCCAAACTGGGCGTCACTTAGCAGGTTATTGCTGAGCAAGTGCTGCTTGATAGCACTGTTGATGACTCCTTCCATCACTTTACTGATGATTGAGAGGAAACTGATGGGGCGGTAATTGGTCGGGTTGGATTTGTCCTGCTTTTTGTGTACAGGACATACTTGGCCAATTTTCCACGTTGTCGGGTAGATACCAGTGTTGTAACTGTACTGGAACAGCTTGACTAAGGGAGCGGCAAGTTCTGGAGCACAAGTCTTCAGTACTATTGCTGGAATGTTGTCAGGGCCAGTAGCCTTTGCAGTATCCAGTGTCTCCGACCTTTTCTTGATATCACATGGAGTGAATCAAATTGGCTGATGACTGGTATCTGTAAAGCTGGGGACCACTGGAGGAGGCTGAGATGGATCATCCACTCAGCACTTCTTGCTGAAGATTGCTGCGAATACTTCAGCCTTATTTTGTGCACTGATGTGCTGGGCTCTTCCATCATTGAGGATGGGGATATTTGTGGAGCCTCCTCCTCCTCCAGCGATCCCCCAATGGTGATCTTTCAAGGCTCTATAGACTCTGGAACAATTCCCATGGATTGGAGGGTCGCTCATGTAACCCCACTATTTAACTTAGGAGGTAGGGAGAAAACATGGAATTACAGAGATAACAAGGAAGAAGGGTCTAGGCCCGAAACGTCAGCCTTCCTGCTCCTCTGATGCTGCTTGGCCTGCTGTGTTCATCCAGCTCTACACCTTGTTATCTCAGATTCTCCAGCATCTGCAGTTCCTACTATCTCTGAAACATGGAATTATAGATGGGTTAGTCTAACATTGGAAAACAGTGACAGTCAGTCAGCATGGATTTACGAAAGGGAAATCATGATGGACAAATCTGCTGAAATGTTTCAAGAATGCAGTGTTTCGCATTGATAACAAGGTCATGGATGTTGCTTACTTGGGCTTTGAGGAGGCATTCAAAAGCTCCCACAGAAGAGAATAACATGTAAAATTAAAGCACACGGGATTGGGGATAGTGTATTGACACAGGAACAGAACTGGCTAGCAGATAGGAAACAAAGAGTCAGAATATACAGGTCATTTTTTGAGTGGCAGCCAGTGACCATGTGGTACTGCAGGGATCAGTGCTTGGACCCCAGCTATTCACATTGTATATTAATAATTTAGATGAGGATACTTAAATGTCATATCTCCAAGCTTGTAGATAACATGAAGCAGGGTGGAACAGTGAACCGTGAGGAGGATCTGGATATGCTTCAGCGTGATTTGGAGAAGTTGGTGAGTGGACAAAAACGCAAGGCAGATGAAGGGTAATGTGGATAAATGCGAGTTTATCCACTTCGACCGCAAAAACAGGACGACATTATTACCTGAACGGTGATAGCTTGGGAAAGGGGAAGGTGAAGTGACATCTACTGTACTTGTACACAATTCGCCGAAATTGAGCATGTAGGTGCAGGAGGTGAAGAAGGCAAATGCCTTCATAGTGGGCATCTGAGGACAGGAGCAGCAATGTCTTGCTGAAGTTGTACAGGGCCTTGCTGAGCCCACACCTGGAGTACTGTGTGCAGCTTTGGAATACTTATCTAACAAAGGATTTTCAGGCTATGGAGCCTGTACAACAAAGGTTTACCCGACAGATTCCCGAGATGGCAGGACTAACTTATGAGGACAGAATGGATTGGGGAGGACAAAAATTACTGGAGATAGAAGAATGAAGGAGGAGTTCACAGAAACCAATAAAATCTTAACAGGACTATCAAGGTAAATGCAGGAAGGATGCCCTCAATGTCTGAGGAGTCCAGAACCAGGAGGTCACAGTTTAATGATATGGAGTGTGTCGTTTAGCACTGAGATGAGGAAAAACTTCTTTACTCAGAACCTATCAACCTGTGGAATTCGCTGCCACAAAAAACCATTAAGGCCAAAACACTGAATGTTTCCAAGAAGAAGATAGGTGTAGTTCTGAGGGATAAAGGGATCAAAGGGCATGGTCTAAAGTGGGAACAGGCTACTGAGTAGAATGATTAGCCATGACCATACCGAATAGCAGAGCGGGATCGAACAACACAATGGCCTACTCCTGATCCTAATTTCTATGTTTCTATTCTGTTAAAGGTGGGATATAAAAACAAGATGATTGTAACTGACACAGATATCAGCACTACCTTACCACCACTGGATGAAAATCCTGTCACTCCTCACCAAACAGCAATCTGAAAGTAGCTTCACCACACGGATTGCAGCAGTTCTAGAAGGTCAAGGAGGTACAAAGTGATTTGGAAGCTTCTGGACTGGCTGCTCTGTCTCTTGTTTTCTATCCTGTTCTCAAATTGTTGAATGTTCTGAGAAAAGCAATATAGTACGTAGGAAATAAGAAAATATCTTTGGAAGTTTGCTGATACTGGGGGAAGGGAATGGTGAGAGAAACAATAGGCCAAGGTTTTGTGGGGGATTAGTGGGCAAAGGAAGGCCCAAATTTCCAAAGACCCCACCTCACTCGGTTATCTCCCTGTTCTGTTCTCTCAATCTCTTTCACATTGGCAGCCAGCTCAGTGACAAAGATGTGCATGTGGACATTTTTCCATCACTCTCAGTCACCAGCACATGCATAAATGTCTCCCAACAGCATACTGCACATACTCCTCAGTGAACACAGTGATGATTTAACCCAATAACCTTTGTTTATAGCTCCACTCACACCAAAGATAGATAAACAACAGTTAAGGGATACATTTTTAAAAAATCAAAAACAAACTGACCAGATTACTCAAGCAGTTTCCGTGATGCAGTGTTACTCGTATTAGGCCAGTAGATGCGTATTAGGTTAGTGGCATAATTGATAACATGTCTGACTTTGGATCAGAAGATTGTAGGTTCAAATCCTCCCTGGCTTGCATACAGCCGACAGTTTTGGGGTGGCATGGTGGCTCGGTGGTTAGAACATAAGAACTTGGAGCAGGAGTAGGTCGTCTGGCCCTTCAAGCCTGCTCCGCCATTCATTAAGATCATGGCTGATCCTTTCATGGACTCAGATCCACTTACCCGCGTTCTCACCGTATCCCTTAATTCCTTTATTGTTCAAAAAAAATCTACCTTTTTTTTAAAAAGCGTTTACTGAAGTAGAGTCAACTACTTCACTGGGCAAGGAATTCCATAGATTAACAACCCTCTGGGTGAAGAAATTCCTTCGCAGTTCAGTCCTAAATCTGCTCCCTCTAATCTTGAGGCTATGCCCTCTTGTCCTAGCTTCACCTGCCAGTGGAAACATCCTCTCTACCTCTATCTTATCCATTCCCTTCATAATTTTATATGTTTCTATAAGATCCCCCCTCAATCTTCTGAATTCCAATGAATATAATCCCAATCTACTCAGTCTCTCCTCATAAGCCAACCCCCTCAACTCCGGAATCAACCTAGTGAACCTCCTTTGCACCCCCTCCAGTGCCAGTACATCCTTTCTCAAGTAAGGAGACCAAAACTGCACACAGTACTCCAGGTGTGGCCTCACCAGCACCTTGTACAGCTGCAACATAACCTCTCTGCTTTTTATTTCAATCCCTTTAGCCATGAAGGACAAAATTCCATTTGCCTTCCTAATTACTTGTTGTACCTGCAGACCTACCTTCTGTGATTCATGCACAAGGACACCCAGGTCCCTCTACATAGCAGCATGCTGCAACTTTTTACCATTCAAGTAATAATCCTTTTTAGTATTACTCCTACCAAAATGTATGACTTCACATTTATTTACATTGTATTCCATCTGCCAGACCTTTGCCCACTCACTCAATGTATCTACAGCACCAGGGACCGGGTTCAATTCCAACTGGGGGCAACTGTCTGTGTGGAATTTGCACATCCTTCCCGTGTCTCCTCCAAAGATGATTAGGTGGATTGGACTTGCTAAATTGCCCATAGTGTCTAGGAGGTGCATCTGGGCGGGATCCTCTTCAGACAGTCGGTGAGGACTTGTAGGGCTGAATGGCCTATTTCCAAATTGTAGGGATTCTATTCAATTCTACTGTCGTGACATGGGCTCAAATTCCCCTCTGGGGATTCTATTCTAAGTATATAGAATTGTCAAACCTTCATGCTGTACCATTAACAGCCAAACACCTTTTCTCAAAAAGCACCAGTTTAAAAACCTCTTAGCCCTTCCTTCTGTTTGATCATGCCCTCTCCCAGACTTGCTGGTACCAGTTCCCAGATACTGACCTCATTAATGGCCAACAGAATCAACATAATTTTTGATCATAATCAACCTGCAATTAGCTTCCAGGCCTGGCCTCAAAAACAAACAACAGCTTGTTTATTCTTTTTAACACAAGCTGCTGCTCACAGTGTAGAGGTCACCGTTCAGCTCTCGGGTTCAAACCGAAAATTATTTTTTTTAAAATCAGTGAAGGTCCTAACACTGTGCACAGAGGAAAGACCTTTAACCAGTGACACAGATTGAGTGAATGGGATACTGTGCACCGGAGCTTTGCTTCAATGAGATCACCTCTCATTGTTCTAATCGGATTCTGAAGCGGCTTGACAGGGTAAATGCTGAGAAATCTTCCCTCTTATTGGACAGCCTAGGACCAGAAAGCACTGTCTTAGAATACAGGGCACCAATTTAGAGCACAAATGAACAGGATTTTCTTTTCAGAGGGTTGAGAGTCATTGGAACTTCTTGCCACAGAAGGCTGTGGGGGCAGAGTCCTTGTGTATATTTAAGGCTGAGATAGATAGATTCTTGATTAGTAGGGGAAATCAAGGGGAAAACGCTAGAAAGTGGACAGCAGAAATGCCAGGTCAGGCACAATCCTATTGAATGGCAAATCAGGCTCAAGGGGCCAAATGGCCTACTCCTGTTCCTATTACAGATTGCCTTCCAGTAGAATGTAGAAAGAACTGTAACCAGTTACACAGCCCGAGAGACGGTGTTCCAGTGAATTGACTGGGGAAACAGCTTTAGCTTAGACTGAAATAAAATCACACACATGCAGTTGAGATAAGGTATGGATGTTCTGTCCATTGGATTAGAATCTGTCTGATCATCCAGCCAGGAGAGACAAAAGATCCCTACACAATGGAGATACTGTGGAAATATCAGGACAATGATAGGGATACAGTTCCCTAACAGAGCTGGCCACCCAACGGTGCAGTCTCACTGGGGACAGACCATTCTCCTGCTCCATGTGCAGGAAGGATTCAGTCAGAAATCCAGCTGCGGAGACACGTATAAGTTTACATGGGATTACAGAAATTGGATTCTGGTGGGATTGCTGCTATTTTTATCACATCCAGCTTCATCTTACCTTCATGTTGCACTTTTACCGCAGTAAACCCTCCCATCGGGAATAATCAAACAAAACTGTTCAGCCCCACATGGAGACATTGGGAACGTGGGGGAGGGGGAAGAGGGAGATCGGGAACCGGGCAACACAGGGCTCCCATTTTTCTGAAGAAGGGTCTAGGCCCGAAACGTCAGCCTTCCTGCTCCTCTGATGCTGCTTGGCCTGCTGTGTTCATCCAGCTCTACAACTTGTTATCTCAGATCCTCCAGCATCTGCAGTTCCTACTAGCTCTCTCCAAAACAGGGCTCCACCGACTCTGTGACGCCACCGCGCTAACTGCGCCTGCGTACCATCCCAACTGCCGAACCAAAATGGCTACCTTTGACCGGGGCCTGTTTCTGGGAAGAAGACTGAATCTCTCTGCGGCTTCAATCGCGATATTGGAAAACCCCCATTTGGTGCTTAAGACCTAAGCTGGGCAATCATGAAGCCTTCTTGCAAAATATAGCACCGACGTTGCTCTCCTCATTTACCTTCACTCACCGTTTCTTAGACGTGATAGACGAACATTTCATTCCGGCCATGACTCCCAGCACTCAAGCTCACAAGTTATGCGCATGCTCCAGCCCTTTTCCCGCCTGGTTAACAACGTTTCGCCGCCAACGGCACGCAAGGGGCGTGGCTGGAGGATCGAGCTCGCACGGCTAGTCCTCCAACCATTCAGGGAAGTCTCGGTGCAAGGGGGCAACCCCCACAACAATCCCCGGGGAGTGAGGGGGCGGGGTTATTTCTCCAACCAATCAGAGAAAACTTGGGGTGAGGCTGGAACGGCGCCACCCGTGGGCCAATCAGTGAAAGAGAAGGCAGGTTTGGAACAGTGACATTGTACTGACGGGAGGACCGCTTTCTGTCCATTCTTTTTACAGCACATTCAATGGGAAGTATTTCCAGATCGTCAATTCCAACCAGATATCATGGTAAGATCTAATAGAGATAACAAGTTGTAGAGCTGGATGAACATAGCAGGCCAAGCAGCATCAGAGGAGCCGGAAAACTGACGTGTCGGGTCTGGACACTTTCTCTCAAGATCTAGTAGAGTCACTCCATTCAGCAGCATCTCACTATCATCGGTCTTTCACCATGCAAGGTAAAAGGTTTGTCTGAAGTGGCTGTTTGAAAATATTTCCGGAAAAGTGTCACTGGGAAAATTCCGAGAAACTCGGTATCTTGTGCAAAGCAACCTTTCTAGGGGAGCAGCGCAGATTTACCCCAATGATTCCTGGACTGAAGGGTTATATTATGAGCAGAGGTTGCAGAGATCAGTCTTAGATTCATTATGGCACAGAAAGAAGCAATTTAGCCTATTTCATCAATGCCAATGCTTCTGTACAGAAATGCAATCTCTCTAATTCCTCTGCTCCCTCCCCAAACTCGTGCAAGTTTATTTCACTTAAATGCTTACCTAATTTTCTTTGTGATGTCATTGATTTTCTTTGTTTCCACCCGTAAGGAGAGAGGACTGTGTAGTTCCACTCATTCTGAGAGGAAACAGAGCTTTATTCTTCTGTATCTGTTGTTGCTGAATAGCTCAGTTTGGGAATACATTAGCCTGCAGATATAAACTTCATCAGCCACTCCTCAGACCATTGACCCAATTGATCAAGATCTCTTTGTAATCAGGAAAGCTAATAGGCTGTGCCCTTTATTATGACAAGAATTGAACATAAAGGTAAGAATGTTCTGCTTTATTTGTAAAGAGAATTGGTGAGACCACTCTCAAATAAAGTGTGCAGGTTTTGATCATCTTCTGTAAATTTATTGGAGGCTTATGAAATTGAATCTTGGAATCAGTGAGTTGTCAAAGGAGGATAGGTTGCGCAGGCAAAAAGGAAAAGAGGTGGTAAGAACTGTTGATTAAACAAGGATATAGGCTCTGGTGAAGTTGAATATATGCAGAACAAAAACTGAAATTGCTGGATAAGCTCAGCAGGTCTGGCAGCATCTGTGGAGAGAAATCAGAGTTAAAGTTTCAGGTTGAGTGACCCTTCCTCAGAATGGAAATGTTAACTCTGATTTCACTCTACAAGTGCTGCCAGTAGACCTGCTGAGCTTATCCAGCAATTTCTGTGCCTGTTTCTAATTTACAGCATCTGCAGTCCTTTTGATTTTTGTGGAATATGTATGAGTTGAGTTTAGAAACACTAATCGTTAGTAAATGATGGTAAGGTTGAACATAGACTCCAAAACGCAGGAGCGATATTGGGGAAGGTACTAGAATAGAATTTAGAGATGCAAGTAATAAAGTTAGGGCACCAATTATGGGTGACTTTAATCTGCATATATATTGAGCAAATCAAATTAGTAGCAATATGATAGAGGAGGCATTCTTAGCTTGTATATGTAACAGTTGTATGAATCAATACATCGAAAAAGCAACTAGGTATTGAGTAATAAGAAAGGAATAATTGATAATCAAGTTGAGCATGGGCCCTTAGGAAAGATATAATTCTTCATTAAGATGGAGAGAGATGTTGTTTCTGAGACTCGGGTCCTGTAATTAAATAAAGAAAATTATAATGACATGAGGTGTGAGCTAGCTGTGATAAATTATAGATCAGTATTTAAATGAGTAATGGGAGATAGGGCATGGTAAACATTTAAAGAGAGTATGGACAATGTACAAAAGTTATTCATCCTAGTCTGGCAAAAGAACAATGTGGGAAATATGGTCAAACCCTGGCAAAAAAGGGAAGTGATGATTAATATTAAATTTAAGGAAAGAATGTACCAATTGACTAAATAAATCAACAGACAAGAGGATTGGAAACAGTTTAGACTTCTGCAAAGGGAGACAAAGGGGATTGATAAAGAGAGAGAAAATAGAGTATGAGAGTACGCTTGCACAGAATGTAAGCATCACTGGCTAGGCCAGAATTTCTTGCCCAACCGTGATTGCTCAGAAGGTTGCCAAGAGTCAACTGCATTGGTGTTGGTTTGGAGTCACGTGTACGCCAGACCGAGTAAGTATGACAGTTTCTTTTCCGTAAACGACATAAGCGAACCACATGCATTTTTCATGACGATCAATGGTTTCATGGTCATCATTAAACTCTTAATTAAAGATTGATAGTGAAATGTTAGTGAAGATGGATATAGGGTCTCCTACAGTCAGAAACAGGGGAATTTCAAAATGGGGTGTTAAGTGATGGCAGAACAATTAAATATGTCTTCATATCTTCAGAAAGGAGAACACAAATAACATCCCCAAAATAAGAGGAATAACAGCATCCAATGGGAAGGTGGAATTGAAAGAAATTAGTATTAGTAGGAAAATGATGTTGGGTAAAATAGTGGTATTAAAGGCAGATAAATTCCCAGACATTGATAACTTTCATCCCAGAGTATCTTACAAAGTGGCCCGAGAAATAGCAGATATGGTTATCTTCCAAAATTCTACAAACTGTCTGAAAGAGTTTCTGTGGATTGAAAATGTAGCTAACATAACCATAGTATTTAAGAAGGGAGGCAGAGACAAAACAGGGAATTTGCATGACACTGGTTATGGGAAAAATATTAGAGTCCACTCTAAAAGATGGAAGAACAGAGTACTTGGAAGACAGTGACAAGATCAGACAGAGTCAGCAGAGCCTTTTTCTGTGCTGTAGATCTCTGAGGCTCTTTGCTGGGCATGAATGCCCTCCAAGCCACTCACCGTCCTGACTTGGAAATATATCACTGTTCCTTCACTGTTGTTGCGTCAAAATCCTGAATTCCCTTCCTAACAATGTTGTGGGTCTACCTACAGCTCATGGACTGCAGCAGTTCAAGAAGGCAGCTCACCACCATCTTCAAAAAGGCAACTAGGGCCAGCCGCTCATGCCCGCATCCCACGATCAAATATTGAAAAAAGACATATTTTTGAAGTCAAGCTTAAAGTGGAATTGAAGCCTAAATTGATCAGCTATGACCATTTGGCTCCTTGAGCCTCAAAAAGGACTACTTCTGTTCCTTTTTCATACGTTCTCTATCCTTTTACCAAAATGCATGGAGTGTTGTATTCCCTGGAATTTAGAAGATTAAGGCATGATTTCATTAAAATTTAAGATGTTAATTAAAGCTGGTCAGGGAGAAAGAGAGGAACTATTTCCACTGGGTGGGTGAAGTGGGAACTCAACACCCTCCTCACCCTGAGTAATCAGACAAGACTTGCGATTCTTTGTTCACTGGTTTGTTCGAACATACGACTGAGGAACAAGAGTTGACCACTTGGCCCTTCGAGCCAGCTCTGCCGTTCAATAAGATCATGGTTGATGTGACTTCAACCTGAATTCTCTGTGCCTGCATATCCCCCCCATAATCTTTCATCATCTCAGTCATCAAGATTCTGCATTTACTGTCTTTTGATGAAGTGAATTCCAAAGACACTCTACCCTCTGAGAGAAAAGAAACATTTCCTCATCTCTCTTTTAAATGGGATAACCCTTATTTTTAAACTATGGCCCCCACTTCTAGATTTTCCCACAAGAGGAAACATTTTCTTCACCATCCATCTGGTCAGGTAACATTGTCTGTGAGGAATTGTTTTCCAGACTCGAGGACCATGCACAGTGTTGTTTTAGGTGTCAGTATTGACACCAACCTCTCTTCTGGTAGGATATTAATGACCCGCTCTTGTGTACAGAGTACACAGTTTCAAAATACTAAATTATGCAAAACTCGCAAATAAACTAAACAAGGCAGAAAGGCACAGGAACTGTTCTTTATCAATAAAGTCTATCTTGCTCGACATTGCTCTGTAACACAGAGCAACAAGACAATCAGGGCAACACGCAAGCAAGTGTAAAAAGGGACATGAGTGCAATGCCAGAGATCATGCCGGGAGCAACACCAGATACATAGCAAAGTGAATTTCCCATAACAAGAACACTTCCCAAACAGTAGACTGAGAAGAGAGAACTCAGATCGAGGTCAACCTTTGGAATTCGGTGCCCCCGACGCCATGGAAGTCAGTCATTGAGTCTGTTCAAGAATGAGATTGACTGACAGATTTCTACAGAATAAAAACATCAAGGGCTCAGGGAATAGTGGAGGAAAATATTGAAAATGTATATTTCAATGATCAGTCCAATTTGGCACTCTGTAGTTAAGCAATTTCCTCAAACAAGTTAGGAACCAATGGTGAAGACAATCATATAATCCCAGTTAACAGGCCAGGAATTAGAGAATTTGCCAAACATTAATGTATAACCAGAAATATGGAGCTAATTGAGGGCATGCAGCTCCAGTCTTGCAATCAGTCAACACACGGTACTTTTATAACAGTATAGAGGCGTGTGGAATGTGGAGGTTGTGAGCTCGACCATCATCTGGAGCAGTTTTAATTTGTCGTGGGACAAGAGGGTAAGGACGAAAAGCAATGTTGAGCAAAGTCAAGTTTATTGGAAAGTACAAGTTTTTGTGAATTGAGAAATGACCTTTC